CTTCCCAGGAAATCTCCTATCCCTTTTGTTCACCTGAGCCTCTATGTATTGCTTCAAGTCACATTCTGCTCCAGCTTCCTCAGGACAATCCTGTCCTAACTTGAAGATGGGAACTCGCTCCCTGCTTGGGCAGTCAGTGCTACAAATGCTGATTTTTAGGGCTGCCCTTTCTTAGAACTGAAGTCTTCGGGGAATTTGGTCACAACTCCTACTTGTAAAGGCAAAACTTCTCACCATGCAACTCATCAGTATTTATTACTGAGAAGTACCCATTCCAGGCTAGCTTGCAGATCTTAGGATGACTGCAACCAGGTTTTGCAGCTGTAGTTCATGTAATTCAAGTTCAAGTAATAAACAATAGCTCTTTCTTCTCTGATAAAGAGATTACTTACCCATCTGTTGATTACTCAGAAAACAGCAACCTACACACATAGGATGTTCAAAAAGAAGGGCCAAAGATTGGTCTGTAGGACTGAAAAAAAATATGGGGGGGGGGAAGTAGGCATCAGAGAGGCATGAAGTGTTGCAGTAAACACTGTGGTTAAGGCAGGAGCATAGCAAGGTAAGAACCAACCCACAAGAAGCCCCCATCCAGCTTCCGTAGAAGGCAACAACAGTAGAGGTATAGACTCAAGTCTTCTGGATATTCAGTTGACCCAGGTGCCAGTAGCCATCACCTAAACCCATCTCATGGGCTGAGGTGCTGAGCCTTCAGCTTAGTTCTCACCACCCTAGTTATAACCCATCACATTTTCTTGAACTTTGACAAATGCTGCTAGTGTTGGACTACAGCCATGTTGGATATTGGCAACCTGAACACATGCACCAACATGGAGCAATAAAACCAAGGGCAGCTGAAGTCAGCAGTAAACTTTCATTATGGTTCACAGCAATTCACCCCATCTCTTTCAGGTGCCAGGTTCAGTCTCATGCCCAGAATTCCACGGCTTACAGAAGTGCTACTTCCCAGTTCTGCAAAGAGCTCAGGGATATGGTAGGTCTCAAACTCCCATATGAGATTAGATTTTTTTCCTCCAGGCTCTCTCCTATACCCAAGAAGGAAAATAGATCAATTCCTTTCTAGAGTCATTCCAGTCTAAGACACACAAAAGCATGATTACCATTTGACTTTTTTTGAAATCCAGACTTTTTTTTGTAAGAAGGCCCCATTAACACAGAACAGTGCAATGCATTACAGAAGAGAGCTGTATGGCTTGCATAACCCCTTAGACAAATGGCAGTGTGTAACACAAAAGGTGGGCAATACATTCATGCATTAGTCCAGAGCTATGGCCAGAGCCTGACCCTCAACAATTCTGCTATTTCTCATAATAAATACCAACCTCCTTAAAAGAGAAAGGTGGGTACAAGCAAAGACTACGAAGAAATATTTGTAGTACGCAGAGGACAAAAGACCAGAAGCCCCTAGGAACACAGCCAAGATACTACAGTAGGGGAACATCAGATACAGATACAGCACATCAGCTTGCTGGCAAGGATCTAAGTCCGTAGGTAGCCCCCGCCAGAAGATATTTTAGAGAAAAAGCACACTTAAAAAGCCATTTAGAGTAGAAGTACAGGATAAATCGGTAATTCTTTAGGCGAAGGGTTCTGCACTAATGACACCGATCCCTCCCATATCCATTTTTGAACCGAAACAGGACAGCCACAGCTCTAGCTGCTGCAAGCAGCAACTGCAGCGCTGTACAGTAACTTCCCATGCAGCTTTTGTTCTTCCACTTGGAAACCTGAGATTTGGCACACATGCCGTAAGCCCTTGAGATAGTACTTTGCTGGCTTTGGAGAAACAGAGCCAGCCACAGAGAAAAATCCTGAGTGTACACTATGGGAATCTGCCTTGCTGAGGGACGGGGGCCATGTCAGATGCCAGGGGACAGAGTTACGTCAGCAGGCAGGCTGACAGAAGAAAGCCCAGCTGGCTCCAGGGTAGAGCCCAGCCTGTTTGCATCCAAGTACCACTGCCTGCATATCATGACAGTCATCCTTTGCCACCCTGTATGAAGATGGTAGTAAAAAAAAAGTTACATTTTAGGAATACAATTAAGAACTGCTCTTGTTCACACACACACCCCAAGGAAAGGAGCAATGATGGTATCTTCCCAAATGTGCTCTGACAGTCATCTTTTCCATCTCTGGGCATTCCCTTCAAATTTGGCATTGGCATAGGAGTTATTTCCTGCTTTATACACTTAACATGTTATGCAAGTTCAACTCCATGCTATACATCAAACAGTACAATTAATAAGCATAGTAAAGTCTCCTCTCCCCCACAAACATACAATACATCTTACTCTTTATTAAGTATCAAATTGTCTCCAACATAAATTACATCCAAATTACTTAAGTTTCAGAGTCAGATATTTTATGTACAATATTTGTCTTGAGTCAGATATACCTTTATCATTTTAACCTATAACAAAAAGCAAACCTATATCAGTACCAAATAAAGCATTAAAAAGGTAACAAATATATAACTTTTTAGAAATGCTTTCAGAATGCTGAAGTTAATGAGAAAGATTTTATAGTGCAGCAGTCTTGGGTTTTTAGCTCTTAGACCATTTCTCTGTTTTTGCGGATAGCACAGCAGAGAACCATACTGAATATCATGCCGAAAATCTGTAAAGAAAACAAATTCATTAGAAATCAGGGGACCAAAGCACATTCTTCTGTCAACACGGGGACAAGCATAGCTGCTCTTCCCAGCCCAGAGGCCATATTAACACTTTATTCTGCAGTTCATGTCCCTGCCCCTCCCTTCTCATTCACCCCCAAATTTCAGTCCGTTCTCATGAGTTCCCTTCACCCTCAATAGTTTAAAATTGATCAGCTATAAATCACTGCCATATCTCCTAAGGAATCTTTGACCATCGCGGCATATTTGAATCCATGTCATACTTTCCTCTAGAGAAGTCAAACAAAAAAAGTGCAAGTTTTCTTACTAGCACTGTTATTTCACTTCTCTGGCAGGGTCTTTAATTCTTATAAAGGAAACAAAAGCAAAGATCCCGAAGAGATATCAGGATTAGTAAGTGGGCTAGCAACATGACAAATACATCTTCACCCTATATATACATGCACTACCAATACAACTTCACTATTGCTAAAACTACAAGGAGGCAGATCCTAATCCAAAGCAGCAGCAGGGAGGTCCAAGCCACCCCACCCTCTGCGCTGCCTCGGGGCCCTGCAGCACACACCCTGATCCTGCTGGTACCTGCCATTAGTGAAGCAGGCTCGTAGACTGCCATGCCAGGCACTATTCAACATACTTGTGCTGTAAGTATCCTTTGGCCATACAGCCACCCTCTAAATAATCTGGAAACTCACCATTATTACAGCAATGCCAAGGCCAACTGCTCCAATCACATTCAATTTCGAATTGAAGACATCATCAATGGCATTAGGGCATGACTGAAAAACAGACTTCATTAGTGTTTCATACATACAAAAGGTTTGTTTCTGCTTGTTTGTTTGAGCTCAGGTCTGCTGATTGATGCTACACCTTTAACCAAGCCTGCTTGCACTAGAGACAAAGACTCATCTCTTGAAAGCCGCTTTGAACTGGCCTTTATTTTCACATCTTTAAAGAAAGCCAGGGATGTTCCAACACAAAAGTTCATGGAGAAGTTTAAATTTACTCTTCAAGTATCTAAAACCTCTTAACTGCACCGTGGCTACAGCAGGATTCCCTTCTCAACACCTGCAGTTGATCAGGTAGGTCAGGACCAACAAGAGTTGTACCAGACTTGGCTTGTTACTAATGGCTGTCAGCATTTAAGTTGCTGTATTGCTCAGCTCTTCTCAAAATATATTTCAAGCCACTATTGATATTTTCAATTGCTACTGTAATTTTGCAGACACCTTATGAACACACAGTGCATGGGAAATGGCAGGATTTCTTGAGCAGCATGCATACATATTAGGCTATTGTTAGATTCATAGAGCTGCCAGTTTGAGGCTCCCAGGACAATGAATTACCATTGCAACTAAAGAAAAAAATTAAGTACAGTACTTTCCCCAGCAAAGACACATGGTAGCCAAGAACAAGGAACTTTTACAGAGGTATAAATTTTTTTTAAGAGCCTAGTAGCTGGTCAAAGTCTCACCCCAACTCCTGTCCTACTTATTCCAGCAGACACCAGTGAGCTGCTAAAAGCTATTTTACTCCAGTAGTTCCTTATGTAGTCCAGGCAGAAAGACTGAATCGAGGATTAAAGGGATATACTGGCAAGAATTAATCAGTTAAATCAGAATATCAACACAGCAGTACTTCTTAAAAGGCACACGGCTCAGCCACACCATTATGTGCCTTTAATCCCACAGCCTATCTACTGTCTTTCTACAGTTGGGACTACGCCATAAACACATCACAAGATGAAGTCAGATGAAGTTAAAACACACTTAGCAGAATAAAAGCAAACAATAAACCTGCATACTGCCTCAGCTATTCTTATATAGTCTAACTCATAGCAGATTGTATGGACAGGACTAAAGATACAGTCCAAATACGGATTGAAATGTCTCATGTGGTCAGGGATTTGAAAGCACAAGTCATGTGAAAAAAAATTCAAGTCATTAACTGAATTCCCACCTCATAAGAACCTGATATTCTATGGGAAGACTCATACAGGCTGTCTTGGAGCATGGAGCAAGAACACAAGACAGTTGTAAGAAAAAAAGAGGTAGTTAAGAACTATACAAGATGCCTCTTCTGTATCCGTGGCATTCAGGCACCTTTGCAGAAACATTTCAGCAGGGGAGTCCGATTCAGGGAATTGGCTTTACAGTGACATACTCACCTAAACAGGCCACCAGTACATTACCCCTTCCCCTCTGCTCCCCCCACTCTTTTCCTTGCTAAAACTTCAGACCTGCTCCCACCCCATGCTCTACTTCTCCCTAACCAAGAGGGAGGCAACAGCTCCCATGCAGCACCAGGAAGGTCCTCTGGCAATAGGAGGAGCCAGAACAGAGTTCTAGCATTTTTTTTTTTTT